AGAGTTTTTAAATGTCCTCTCTTGTTGAGTCCACCTACAGGCACTAAAGACTCATTGCCATTAATTAAGGGCTGTTATGAAGATAATTAAGCGCACACTGCTTAAATGAAAGGTTGCTGGTTCCGATCCATGTACAGGTACCTCAGAAGAAAGGTCTGTACACCTACAAGGTCGGAGTTACTAACATCCCAATGGAGCAGTGTCCTACTAGGGCCCACGTGTGGTAACCATGAGTTGGCATTAACTAGATGGCAACTGGGTGACAAATGTTGAGTTTAAGCAGATACAGTCATCAAGAAAAGAGGAGCTTAAGATGAGGAGGGGAGGAATGATGTATACTGCATTGAAATAGATGAGGGAGAGAACTGTTTAAAAGGGACATATGATTGGGTATTATTGTCATGACAGGAGTCCAGGCTGCATAGTGGAGTAGACTTTGGGGGAGGGACTGAATAACAATGAGTTTTTCTTTTACTTTTCAAAGAGAAGAGTGAATTGGGGGGAAAGGGTGATCAGGGAGAAAAGAGGAACAATGAATGACTGGAAACCCTAAGTCTCTGTAAACTTTCATTAAAATTAATAAAAAAAGAAAAAAAGGAATATTTTCTCAGGAAAACTAGAGAATGGGAACATTTTCAATTTCTTGAGATGATTTTTAGTCAGAAATAAAAAATTTAATAATAGTTTGATTTCTAAATGCACTTTTGTGGCCCTAGGAAAAACAGACTGCTGTACCTGAAAAAGAATGACCTTCAATTAGAGGAGGACCACTTACCCCACAGGAGGACTGCAGGGAATTTGGAAGGCTTCCATTTAAACTATGATTCTACATTTATTTGAGGATCAAAAGGTGCTATATTTTCCTAGGCAGCAAAAGTGGAAGGAAGAGCTAAAATAAGAGCAGTAGAATAAGATCTATAAGTGATGAAGCTGAGATACACATATATGGCAGTTCATGATCATACTCTTTTCTTTGTGAATGAAGAATGGGAATCCCAGAACACTTGATCGTTCTAATGCGAAACTTATACTTGGACCAGGAGGCAGTCGTCAGAACAGAGTGAGGGAACACTGAATGGTTCAAAATTGGGAAGGGCGTACGCCAGGGACGCATCCTATCTCCATACCTTTTCAACCTATATGCAGAACAGATTATCCAGGAGACTGGACTCTATGAGGAGAAATGTGGGGTCAAGATTGGTGGACGATTTATCAACAACCTGCGTTATGCGGATGACACAACCCTGCTTGCTGAAACTGAAGAGGACCTGAAACGCCTTCTGCAGAGTGTCAAGGACTGCAGCCTACAATATGGATTGAGGCTCAATGTCAAGAAGACAAAGATTCTCACCACTGGACCAATTGGTAGCATCAGGATGGATGGTGAAGAGATTGAGATTGTACATAGCTTTAGTTTGCTTTGCTCTGTAGTCAACAGTCTTGGCACCAGCAGTCAGAAAATTAAAAGGCGCATTGCATGGGAAAGTCTGCTTTTAGGGACCTCTCCAAAGTACTGAAGAGCAATGGTGTCTCTCTAGAGACTAAGGTGCGTCTGGTACAGGCTATGGTCTTCCCAATCCCTTGTTATGCATCAGAGAGTTGGACAATGACCAAGGAGGATAGAAGGAGAATTGATGCCTTTGAGCTGTGGTGCTGGAGAAGAGTATTGAGAATACCATGGACTGCTAGGAAAACAAACAGATTTGTCCTGGAAAAGGTTAAACCGGGTAGCTCCTTGGAGGCAAGGATTCTGAGGCTCCATCTAACATACTTTGGACATGTTGTGAGGAGAGACTGGTCCTTGGAGAGGGACATCATGCTTGGGAGGGTGGAGGGACAGCGCAGGAGAGGAAGGCCCTCTATGAGGTGGATTGAATTACTGGGATAATCGGGATGGGAGTGTCAGGGACAGTGCGATTGGCACAGGACAGAGCGGAGTTTAGGGCTGTTGTACATAGGGTCGCTATGAGTCGTAAGCGACTCAATGGCACATAACAACAACAACAACCTGAAGATTTTGTAGGTTGGATCAGGAAGTCCTGGTTTTAATCAGAAAGGTGGATGCAGAAGTGTGTTGAAGATTCACTGTGACATTTTTGGAAATTAATGATGCTGATAGAAAACCTCTCTTTCTAGAGAGAAAGGGGAATGAAGAGGTGTCATTTTTAATTGTGGGCCAATGAAAAGGCTGGGAAGTGACTATCTAAAGTGGTAGGTCTGTGCTCCTTTATTCTTTTTCTAACACTGAGGCTCCAGGACCTGATACAAGCTTCCTCTCCACTAGTTGCACTCTTTTCCTGTTGCTCTTGGATCACCCCTGGAGCCACGAACAGCTCTTCAGAAGCATCTGTCGTTCCAGTGTGCAAGTATAGGAGGAAACCATGACTTTTTCCTTTATCTTTTTATCTGTACTGTTGCTGTACATCAACTCTGATTTTAGCATTATCAGTCAAATACTTGAAGGTATTCGTGTGTTTTATGCACTGGAAAAATAGGAAAATATTTAATCCTGTACACTCTATGCTTCTCCTGCAATGTTTCATGGCAACAGGGAATGTGTGCTTTGATGCTTCATGAAGCTGGCCTGATTGATTCCATTCATATTCCTCCAGGTTTAAGATCAGCTCCCAGAGCAGGCTCAGACACCCTAGGAAAGGTGCCAAATGGACTTTTTTACCCAAATATAAATGATACCAAGAGGCAAATGTAAATCCTAGGGGCTATCACTTGGATGTTCTGCTAACAAGCTACAAAATAATAGAAGACCCATCACCAGTGCCCAGCAGATACCTTGGCATATAACAAATGTTCAATTATCATCTGAGTGTTTAATGAGCCACTCACAGGTTGTAGAGAGATGTACTGCCAACCCAAAGGCAGGTGGTTCAAACTCACCAGCTCCTCTGTAGGAGAGAGATGGATAATTTCCTCTTGTGTGATTTGACTGGAGGGTCAGTTGTGAGTTGTTTCCAACTTGATGGCAATGAAAGTGGAACTGAATTCCTACCATATTATTGGGAGACAATATTTTTCATGGGACAATGAAGCTACATGCTTTCCAAAATGAAAGCTATATGAAAATGGAACAATTAGAAAGTAATTTTTCTACACAGTGAAGGTTTTAAAGATATTTGGACGGCCCATGAGAGGGAAAGGTGAAGAATACACACACTGGTCAGTAGTGTGGAAAGCTATCTGTGCCCCTGATATCTCATAATGACAAATATCATAAACTTGCTTGTTAACTACATGGAGCTGGTGCACTGATTCTGCCTCAGAAGCATGGTACCACAGACGTCATAGAATCAGAACCTAGCCATCCTGAGAGTTTTTATTGACTCATTTTCATAAGTAGGTTGCTAGGTATTTCTTCCTAGTCTGCCTTCACCCGGAAGTGCCACTGAAACATGTTCAGTATCATAGCTACCCTGAAGCATCCACTGACAACAATACAGTGTCAAAAGGGGAAGAATCAAACTGTGGTCCCCCACAGAGAAGATGAGATTTCTACCACTCACCCACCACCACCTGTACAATGTTCAAAGTTTCACCACTGTGTCTAGAATTACCTTATGCCCATTTCCAGTGAAAAGCTCAAGGTTGCTTGTAAGTGACATAGAGAAAGAAAAAGGTGCAAAAGTTAGTTAAATAGTTTAATCAGAGCAGTTTAACAATTCTAAAATTAACAAGCAGACTTGTAATAAAAGAGCTCCAATGTTTGCAAAATGACCTTGCTTCCATTCTGAATCTGCCTTTTTATTTGTAAAGATCAGCATTATATTTAAAAGGGCTCAAAATGGAGTGATTTATAGGATCATCCATGGTCTGTGATGCAACTGATGAAATCCCTGAATGGATATTGCTTCAGCTTTGATATTAAAAAAAATGGCCTGACAAGAAGTTCTTAATCAACATCTGATCACAGGTGACCAAAATAAAAAGGAAAAACTCCAAATGACTGTCAAGTTCATAATGTATCACATTGTTTGGTTGATGTCACTGGTTCCAAATATACAATTAAGCCCACGACACTTTGGTTACTATGAATTATCATGAAAGTTCTCTTACGTTGATCAACTTGCTTTTGAAGTTTTTCTTTTTGATTGATAGATTGAAACTTGCATAATAAACATGCAATGAATTATTTCTTTTGAAACTTTTTTTTTGCAGTCTTTGTGTTCATACAAAGATTTAATAAAGTTGCAATGTTGCATCAGAGCATTACCAAAATAAGAGCAGGGACACTCGGGGAGGGTAAAATGTGAATTAAGAGAAGAGCTTTCTGTCGTCCTGAGTCATGCCACCTTCTTTTTTAAAAGGGTGCACACAAGGGTGCTTTTTCTACCCTCCCCCACCAAAGAAAAGAAGAAAGTAAAGGAAACAAACAACAAACTCAAACTAAGGGGGGAAAAAAAGAGAGAAAGGTGGACATAAAGAAAATAGATTTTTTTTTTCATGCACATTATCTTCTGCATAGCTCAACCCACATATAGTAAGGCACTATTTCCCTCCTCAAATGGTGTCCACTGCAATCTGCTAAGTGCTACAGTGCTATGTGACCACGGCAGTTCCTTTCCAGATGGTGAACTAAAGAGATCAGGTGTGTGTGAAACCACGCTTCTCTGGGGATATCCCCACATCTCCCGGGGACACCCCGAGTCCCAGCAGAAAACTGTTGGGTCATGACAGTGTCCAGAATGGTTTGCATTCCCAAGTTCGTTTTGTCTGGGTATGAATCTAGATTATTTTTCCATACTTTTCTCAAAGAAAATACAAGAGGTGGGGGCAAAAGTACAGTCAAGTCTTCAGAACCAGGTGCCATACTTTTAAGGGAGTAGGCAACATTCACAATCCACAAACTCAGCAAGATGTTTCTGAGAGAGTCCAAGAAGAGAGAGAGAGAGAGAGAGAGAGAGAGCAGGATATAAGGAGACAATGAGAGGGAGACAGTGATAGAGATAGACGAGGATTCGGTTTCTAGAGGTGGTTAGAGTCTGAGTTTAGTTTAGTTGGTCCTCATACTGTTTCCTGAAGCAATCTCCTGCAGGGAAGAATTCCCAGCACCTTTCTTGATACATCTTCCAGACATAAGATTCCTGTAAACAAAAAGAAAATGTATTAACGTTGCATCTTTCCCCTAACAAAATATAGGAGAGAAAAGGGGGGGGAATCAACTTTGTTGTTATATATAGCACATGCAACTCTGATGACCTAGTGGTAGGGAGTTGCACTGCCAACTTCAAGGTTTGTGGTTCAAATTCAACAGCTGCTCCACAGGAGAAAGTCAATCTTCTCCCATGGTATTTACTGCCTCTGCAAACCCGCTTAAGGTTCAGCTCTGAGTTGGTTCCAACTTGACAGTACATAGCAAGAAGAGCCACTTTCCCAACTAACTCCAAGTCAGCTGACAGGGAGTGACATTACTTATGGTGACCCCCAAGTATACCAGAGGAAGGCTTTCCATGGCTGACTTTTTGGAAGTACATCACTAGCTTTTTCTTCTGAGGTGCCTCTGGGTAAAGTCGAATTGACAACCTTTTGGCTAGCAGTTGAGTGTATTAACCATTTATATCACCCAAGGCCTCCTGTGTTGTGGTTGTTGCCGTTGTTGTTGACCATCAAGTCTGAACCGATTCACAGCTGATTTACAGCAGGTTTTCTGAGGCTGCAAATCACACAGGAAATAGTCCTTCTATATCTCACAGATCAGCTAATGGATTCGGACCACATACTTCTGGATTGGCAGCACAATTCCTGATCACTAAGCCATCAGTCTCCCCCTGACTTACATACCAGTTCTTATTCACTCTGGTAGCTTAGAAGTAAGGAATTGTGCTGCTAACACAAAGGTACACAATTCAAATCACCAGGTGCAGAAAGCTGGGCAATCTCATATCATGTGATTTACTGCCTCTGAAAACCTTCTGGAAGGTAGCTATGGCACTGTTCTCACTTGACAGTACTAAACAAGAACACTCCCTCATAGTAAAAAATAAATAAGTAATCAATATTCATTAAAATCATAACATAATGAGAAAAAGTAATTTTTGTAGTATATGTTTTTATAAGTTCTTTAAAAAGTATTATCATTCCATACGAATGTGACTAGGTATTTCTGTCATCACAGGAGTCTAGAGCAATGGCTCCATGGTGGAGGGGACCTGGGGGAGGGTATGTAAAACAATGAAAGAATCTTTTCTTTTACTTTTCCATAATTTTTGACTCATGTACTTATAACTTGTTAGTCAAAATTGTGTCTTCTAGGTTGCAACACCCCCATGATACATCTTCAAGGATATGAACATATATGGCCAAGCACAATCAATAAGAGTGCATCTAAATTCCAAAATCAATCTCCATAATAGTCTATGTGTTTCCTACTGCCAAAGGGGCCCTTTAGAGTAGTGAGAGAAGATCTTCACCCTGAAACCCACAGCGTCCCTTGTCAGCAGGAAGTGGCTCATAGAATACGCCATCCCCTTTTCCTTATGACTCAGGGTGAAGTCTCTCTCAGGGAGGAGTGATAGGGAATGGCAAAGGACACACTGACAAAGAAGATTAATCAGAACTGGCTTTGACAAGCACTGTGGCATTTGGACAAGAACAAACTGGGAGGAGGGTAGAGAGAATAGTGCAACAATGAATGAATGGAAACCCAAAATCTCTGTAAATGTTTATGAAAATTAATAAAATATAATTATAGAAAAAAAGTATTATCATTCTTAATTGTATCCTCAGCTGTGTATTTCTTATTCAAACTGTTAATAAGTAGACCAGATTTGTTGCTTAAAAAGAATAGTGGGCAAAGTTATTAAGCAATGATTTTTAACTGACAATACTTATGTGGGTTGAAGTTCAATTGAAATCATCTGCTATATGATTGAGCAATTAAGAATACTATAATTAGGAAGATTCAATTGTCCTAGAGGAAGGATTTTAAAAACTCAGACTCAGCATTTGCAGTTAAAAACAAAACTCAACACTCATTTACTATTTGACATTAGAATTTTCTCTTTCCAACAAAGGCAATTTTTATTAACTCATCAAGAAAACTTGGATTTATGTTATGATAAAATAACTAATATTGCATAGTGATCTCAGTGAAAAGGTGTAAAAGTACACATATTGCTCCACTGTGTAGGATTTTTAAATTTCTTTCGGAGGATGAAATATAGCCATGTTTACTGACCTGTCCTGTGTGCTCTGTTTCATCCTTGTTTATGAGATACATCAGAAAAAACCTACAGAGAGAGAAACACACATCAGAAACAGTGCATAACAATAGCAGCAACAGAGAGAAAAACATTTTATGTATTTTATGTTGTACTGGCCTAGTGTTGTGTTGTATTAGCCACTGGTGGCCTAGTGGGTAGAGAGTTGCACTGCCAACCCAAAGGTTGGCGGTTCAAATACACCAGCTACTCTGTGAGAGAAAGATGTGCAATCTCCTCCATGAAATTTCCTGCCCCTGAAAACTTATTGCAGGGTCAGCTATGAGTCAGTTCCTACTCTATGGAAATGAGTTTGAGTTTTTTGGTATTCAATTATGGTTTGTACACTGAAAACAACACAAATATATTTTCTAGAAAATTAACTCTGTGCACCAGAAATAGGGAGGTTTTCTAAATTTAGGGCATTTTCTAAGTTTACTGAAGGATGATTTCTTTCACCTTGGAGAGATGATAGCTTCAGTGTAGGAAATGACTCATGTTTTTCCCAACAATCAAATTAATACTTATAAAGGTCAAATGAATACAAGCTTAATGAGAAGGTCTAACTTTCCAACTAAAGTTCAGTTAAGCATCTCTTCCATCACCATTGAGTTAGAACTGAATCACAGCTTACTGCCCGGCTGAGACTGTAAATCCCATGGGAGGACATGGCCCATCTTGGTATCATGGAGCCGCTGGGGAATTTGAACTACCAGAGAGGTGCCACCTTTGGCTTAGCAGCGCAAATCCCTACGGACTATGCCACCAGAGCTCCAATTCACCGTAGTGCCATTGAGTCTGGTTCTGAGAGATTTCATTTTATTGCAAACACATTAATTAAGGTAAATTCTTACCCTGAAAGCTTTTGTACTGAGGATCTGATAAAATGATTTTTCAACTTTTCATGTCATTATTTTCCAATGGAATCAAGCCCTAATACTGTGAGTGGTTTTGTGGCATTAGCTTTTCCAAGCTTCATTTTCCACATGAGATTTTATTTTGTACTGTGTACTGGTTTCCAACACAAGTATTAATTAGGAGTTATATAGACGGCATAACTGGACTTATAACTGTAGCTAAGCCCTGATAAAATTGTGGCAAAATCCTTAGATGCTCTCACATAGCCCTCAGTGCTACCACAAGGTATTCACGTCTGATGCCATGAATGCTGAGACTCATGTGCAAGTACAAGGCACCACAGGGTAAACATGTTGAGGACCAAAGGAGGTAAAATGTGGCCACAGCTCAAGTTCCCTGCTGGAGCCATGACATATCAGATCAGCATATCTCTTATCCTTATCTGCACCTAATGGGGTCAGAACTCCAATCACCATTTAGAAAATGAAGGTTATGTAATGTGTCTAAAGCCACACATGTGAATTTCACACCCCACATTCTTCTATAATTGTTGTTGATGTTATATGCCATTGGGTCAACTCATAGCAACCCTATGAACAATGGCTCCAAAACAAACATGCTCTATCCTGAGCCAACCTCACCATCTGTGACACACCTGACTCATCGCCTCAGTTACCATGTCAATCCATCTCATCCTTGGTCTTCCTCTCCTGCACTGTCCCTCCACCCTTTCCAAGCATGCTGTCCTTCATCAATGACTTCTCCCTCTGAGCAAAATGCCCAAAATATGTGAGATGGAGCTTCAAAATTCTTGCCTCCAAGTAGCAGTCTGGTTTCACTCTCTCCAAAAAAGACCTGTTCGTTCTCTTGGCAGCCCATGGTATGTTCAATATCCTTTCTGAGCACCTCAACTGTATAATGCTTCTCTCAATTTCCTCTCTTTGATACTAAATTTAGGTCAGAAACTATGTAGGCGATAAATACAACCAAATTGACATTTTAGTAGGTCTCATTTAAAACTTAGGGAGCGTTTGTGGCCTAGAAGAAAGGATTGTGCTGTCAACCAATAGGCAAGTGGTTCAAATCTATGAGCTGCTCCAATGGATAAAGATGAAAAATATCCTTTCATGTGATTTGTGCTCTAGGAAACCTATTGGAGGGTCAGCTATAAGCCTGTTCCTACTAGACAGCATACTAACAACAACATATAATACTTAAATTTTTATATCTTTTAAAGAATTTAGCTTCTCATTGAGTGTCCAATTTTGCCCAAGAAAATCTGTAAACCCTGAAAACAGTAAAATGGATGTTCACATTTTTCTAAGTGACCTATCCACATCAGGAAATTCAGCATTCTTTTTTTCTCTTTCCATTTTCTATTTCCCCATCCATAATACATTATTCACATGAAGAGCTGAAATCTGATCTCCTAAGTGAACTTACTCCAGAGGAAATGATAACCACTATCTGCGGTCGGTCTCTCTCATAAATAGTGGGAGCCAAAATGCAGATGTTACAGAAAAGATGTTGGTCTTGCTTCTAATTCTCAGCACTCCAAGCTGAGGAATAATTCACAAACATGAGGAAGGGTTCATACTCACAGGTAATTGGCCAAGTTGTGTTCCTGTAAAGTGTGGGTTTCAAAGCCATGTGGAACAGTGTCAAAGTAGTCATTGCCTATTCCACAGATAAAGCATTTCGTCTGGAAAGCAAAGAAAAGATTAAAATGTCAGAGTGTTTGGAAATCAAAAGGAAAATATAGCATACCACTTAACAAAACACATCAGTTGCTGTGAAGCTAATTCTAATTAATGGTAACCTCATGTCCACTAGAGTATAACTGGCTTCCATTGGGTTTTCAGTAGTGGATATTTCATCTATTTATATATAATTTTTTCCTTTTTTTGCACATTTTCTTCCTTTCCATTCTTCTCCCCTTCCCCAGCCCACCCAGCAACGCACCCCTTGTTCCAGATTTCTGTCAGATAGTTAATGCCTAATCATATATTCTTTTCAGACAGTTCTTGCCCTTATGTGTTGTATTGCAGTGTTGAGTATCTATCCACTCTTTCACCCATTCTCTGCCAACCCTGACCCTGTCCGTCTTATTTTGTAACAGTGGTGTTATACAGTATCTGTCCTTTTGTGACTGAGATATTTCACTCAGCATAATGTTCTACAGGCTCCCCCATGTTGTGTAATCCTTTATAAGTTTGGTGTTTTTAACGGTGGATATTTCAACAGTAGATAACCATCCAACTCTTGGTTATCAGCTGAGTATGTTGACCATCTGCATCCTCCTCAGACTGGACTTAACCATTATGCCCAATTATTTTGTTTGATTAATATATGAAAACAGATAATATGGAGACTGTGGATAATATGGAGATTGTGCCAAGTACATGAATAAAAATGTACCTGTTGGCATGACTGTATCATGTTGCTATTTAAATGTGTGCCAGCAACAATAAGTAATAGTTACAGAAGTGTTTAGGATGATTATGGCTGAAAAACAATGTCCTTGAGTTCTCCAGTTTAAGTGATAATCTTTAGGATCTAGTAATCTTGACAGAATTGAACATTTCCCCAACTAAGACTGTTAGCGTGGTACCCAGCTAAAGTCCAACAATCAAGGGGTTGGTTGCTACCCTTTAGGGATGGTAAAATACCAAGTTATTTATTCAGGAATGGCCAGGGCATGGGTTGGTCTGTGGTATTGTAGAAGATTAATGTTTGGATGTGCTGATGTTGCCATTAGCTGTTGATATTCACTCCCCAACTCATGACAACTACCTGAACAGTGGAATGATGGAATGTGCAGTTTTGTGTGATTCCCATGACTGGCTGTGGATTGATGATTTTATGATTTATAGGGATTTATAGGTGATTTTTGGAAGTGGACAGTTAGCCTTTCTTCCCATCCATCTTAATCTGCAAGCTCCACTAAGACCTGTCGCACCTCACAACATAATGCAAGCATCCACTAACCAATGAAAGTTGGCTATGAATTAGGTGTAGTGACAGGAATTGTACCTGGATCCCGCCATAGAAGGAGAGAAATCTACCACCAAACCACCACTGTCCTTCTGGGCAGGCACTAAAAAGAAAATCTTCACCTTGAGGTATCAAACATCTAGTCTGTCTTTGATTCCCTACTGCAAACCTCATCTCTCTTTGTCTAGGTTGCATATGAAAACTGGTTATACCTGTCCTCCACTTTACTAGCAGAATTGCATACATTATCACCTAAAAGGAATGTGATCCTTATAATTTTGTGTAATTTTTAAATGTTCATTGGAATGCAGTAGATGACTTAATATAACTTTATTACAGGTATTGTCATTGTAACTTCTCATGCAAACATGAGATGTTTGTGGCCCACCTAGAGATTGGATCATTTGCTAATCATGTTAATGGCACTGTTTGGGTGGGACTATGAAAATAAAATGCATGGAATCCTAATGTGGATTTTGGTTGGCTTTGCCATCTCATCAACCATAAAATGGTCATCATAGAAGCAGAAAATGGAGATTTCACTGCCATCAAGAAGAAACAGAAAGTGCAGCTGGTCCTCTGGGCCTGAGATTACTGTGTGACCCAGAAGAGGAGAGGTATAACAGGCGAGAGACTGTGAAATGGCAAAGCACCACAAGGTGAGGCAGCACAAGTGGTAGAACCCAGATAACTGGCACAAGACAGCTGTGGGCTTCCCAGGCCATGAAGTAAGACAGCTGAGTGACTGCTGACAGAGAGGGTGCCTATGTATATTCCCTTGGAAGCTAAGTCTACAGACCCAGGAGCTCTACAGCTGAGTATATGTGGATCTTGGCAGAGTGAGGGTGGCAAATAATTAGCAACACTGAAAGAGTTTTATAACACTTGCCCACATGGGACACAGTCTAGGGTGTAAAGCTTAAGGTAAGAATATGTGCTGCAGGCATACGTGAGAGATATCCTGACTAAATGGCAGTCTTCTGAGCATTCCCCAACCTGAGTGGTACTATCTTATTTCTCTAACAAATCTCCTGATCATGCATACTGTCTCTGAGGTCTGTGTGCTCATTATAACAGATTATTGACCCAACAGAGAAGTAATGAGTGTCATGGGAGGATGGCAGAATCCACAGAAAAGCTTTAGAAACTTTGACACGTGGCAGGTTGGAGAGCATGCTGCTGATGTTATGCTTCCCTCACACCCACTCAGTTTTGCACTCTCATTTTCTATAAATCAAAAGCTAATTCAAACCACTGAGGCATTTTCATGGTCCCCTGGATTATAGGAGTGGAATTAATATATGATTCTAGCAGCCAACAACCACTGATGTTGTTGTTACTGCTATGTGCTGTTGTAACATCAGGTCTTTATCCAGTTAGATGCCTCTCAAGTGAAACAGGTTCAAAACTTATCTCAGGGGTTTTACGTGTGAAGCTGTTCTTCCTCTTGGCTGACTCAGGCCAGACAGCTGTCCCACCATGTCCCTGAGTGCCATGGCTGAAACCTGGGAGTCATCCCTATTTGTTCCACCTTCTCTGTCCCCTGAATTTGGCCTCTCTCCCAGTGCTTTTGATCTGTCTAGCCTCCTTAGCAAAAGCCTCATAAACCCCCTCCTGGAAATTTCTGAAAGCCACTTCCTCGCTCCTAGATGTGCCATTTTCTAATTTATCCCCCACCCTTGAAAACACAGTGATCTTCTTAAATGATAAATCCATCACCTCATTACTGCCCTTCTTAAAACCCTTTACTTGTTTCCTTCAGCCCATAAATTCAGCTGTGAACTTCTCCAGTGAGTTACTAGGCTCTTTACGAGCTGGCCACCTTCTCCTGCTTTACTGTCAGTGTCCAATACATCAGTCATTTTGAATCATTTACTCTTGTTAGATGAAAGGATTTTCTTGCTGTCTTTGGTCCATCACGTCAGAGGACAGCATTCTTGTGGTATACAGTGTGAATGGCACCCAGGAGATAAGCAGAGGGAAGGTACAGGGTTGTTTCCCAAACTATCCTGCCTGCCTAGGTCCCTGATAAGCCCTTTCAAAGACCTGTGGACACCTCTGTCACCTGTAACACTCAGCCTGAACTCTCGAGAAGTTTCCCTGGAGATACCTTCACGACTGGCTCTTTGAAGGTGCTCATCGCTCTCTTCTGTAACTGTCTATGCACTAGTCATGGAAATGCTATTCTTTTTTAAAATTATTTGAAATTGGTTTACTTACAAAGTCCATATACCTAGTGTTATACACTTTTCTTCATGCACATTTTATCTCATACAATCATTCCAATGCATATATTTTATAAAACCAATCACTATTGGACCTTGCCCATCATTGCCCTGTCTTCTCAGGTCCCGAATAGATCTTTCCCATTTGCTTCACTGCCTCCCTCCAACCACCAAATTGTGCAACCCTGTGGTTTTGCCCTTACCCATCTTCACTTCTCTGCTCCCACCGCTTCCTCCCGTGGGTCCCCATACATGTTTTGCTAGTCATCCTTCTATTTTTTTAAAATTTTTAAAAATAATTTTAATGAACATTTACAGAGATTTTGGATTTCCATTCATTCATTGCTGCACTTCTCTTCCCGCCCAGCCCTCTCCCCCACTCCAGTTCACTCCTCTCTTTGAAAACTAAAATAAACACTCTCTCCCTAGTATACAATCCCCCCGCACCCCTCCCACCTCCCCAAGTCATCCTTCTATTTTTACAGTAATGGCCTCATGCAGTTTTTGTCCTTATGAGACTGAGTTATTTCACTCAGCATAATGCTCTCCAGTCTATTCCTGAACGGTTTCCACACGCTTAGGGGACAGAGACTATAGCACGTGGTGTTGGCAATATACTACTGTCTGTACGCACCATATAGTTTCTGTGTCCACCTGGTGCCTATCATGGTCCCAGCACTAAACTGCCAAATTATAGGATTATTTACTTCCTGAAGTGAAGACATTGTCCTTTCTCCTCTTTTCCCACCTCTTTGAACTGCCCAATAAAGGCAATAATACAAATCAGTGCCCATAACCATCAGACAGGGAGAGACGTACCTCCATGTCTTCCTTGACTTGCTCTTGTTGGTCTCTCAGTTCTCCAAAAGCATCAATAATTAAACCTGTTGTGGAGGAGAGACAAGCAATGCTTAGCAATCAGAGAAGAAGAATTAAATGCGCGATAGCTCAGAGGGTCCATTCTAGGAAAGGGAGAACAGTCACCTGGGACAATGTACAGAATGCAGTGGTCACCCAGAACCCCTGCTGAAGACATGAGGTCCTCTCAAGATCACTGGGTATGCGATTACAAAAAAGGGCTTACACACAACAATAAAATAGACACATCTTTACTTTTCTTGGTTAAGTGTGTGTTATACTATTACTCGCTTCCTGATAAGAAAAAGAACCCTTGAGATTTATATCAAATAGGCCAATTGGCTGCACCATGATAGATGGAGAAGAGTTTGAAGTTGTTAATAATCAGAGCTTGCTCGGCTCCACAATCAACATTCTTGGCATCAGCAGTCAAAAAAAAAAAAATTCAAAAGACGAAATTCACTGGAAAATCTGCTGTCAGGGACCACTCCAGAGTACTGAAAAAGCAACAATGTCAGTCTAGAGACTAAGGTGCACCTAATCCAGTCCAATCTTCATAATTACTTGCTATGCATCAAAGAACTAGACAGTGACTAAGTATGACAAAAGAAGAATTGATGTCTTTGAGTTGTGGTGCTGGAGAAGAGTCTTAAACATACCATGGACCACCAAGAAAACAAAGAACAAAGAAGTCTGTCTTGGAGAAGGTGAAACCAAGTTTCTCCTTGGGGGCAAGGATTTTGAAGCTCCATCTTACATGCTTTGGACACATGGCCAGCAGGGTCTGATCTGTGAAGTACGACATCATGCTTGGAAGGGTAGAGGAACAGCACAGGAGAGGAAGACTGATGGATTGATACAGCAACTGGGGCATTGGAGGTTGGTGTGTTGGAATCAGTGAGACTAGCTTAGGACAAGGAAGGCTTCAGAGCTGATATATATATATATATATATATATATATATATATATATATATATATATATATATATATAGCGACATAGGGTCACTATGGGTCTCAAGCAACTCGATGGCATGTAACAACAACAACATCACAACAGCAAACATCACAAGTAAACTGTACAGGTACTTAATGTGAAGTAAAACCTGATCAAATGAACAGGAGCAAATACTTGAGAAATAGCTCCCAGTCTTTCACCAGTTTCTCATAAAAGGCTCTTCCTCCCTCATTTATTAACTGCTCCAACAGAACCAGACCACCCTGAGCAACCTTCTTGCAGTCTTTTCCCTCTCAACTTAACAGCAGCACATTATATCCTGGATGTTTTAACCCCCTGCCCTTCTCCACAACACACTACTGCCAGACCCTATGAAGACATACAGAATGAACCCAGAGTCCTCCATACTGCTCTTCAAGGGAGGAAAAAGACCTCCTAATACTGGCAATTGACAGCATAAGTTCATAGTCATAGATGTTTGTCTTAGAATAAATGTAGGAAAAGAAAAAGAGACTATGAGTGATTCTTTCCTGAGAAGAACACTGCACTTCAAGTTGCACTGATGCTCAAAAGACTGAGATCTGCACAGGACTGTGCTTGTAGGTTAAGTGAAGGCTCTTTCAAGCCCAGCTACCCAGATGTAGGTGCAGCCCGATACTGTCCAGCTGTGTGCTGTGGCTGAGTCTCAGGGACGCGACAGACACTAGCACAGGACAAATGCATGAACAGTAAGCCTGTCGTGATCCAGACATTCCACTACACCAGCTCTCTAATAGTCTGTGCTGTGCTGATTATGCATCCAGATACTGTCATCGTGGGTTTTCCCTGACTACTTCTAGCCAGCAGAGGTCCAAGCCTCCTTCCTAATCTCTCTGTAAGGAGAAGACGGTTTGAAATCAGTCCATCATGGATAGCCCAGTGCAGTATTTGAATTTCTGGAGGCATAGCTTCTGGTATGACAGTAACACACATGTTACCAGAATTGTTGTTAGGAGCTGTTTAGTTTAGTACAACTCATAGCCACCCTATGAACAACAGATCTGGACCCTGTTCTATCTTGTGTCATTCTCACAATCTCTGTCAGCCATAAGCCCATTGCAGCTATCATTGTGTCAATACATCTAGTCAAAGGTCTTCCTCTCCTTTGCCATCCCTCCTTCCCAAGTTTGATGTTCCTCTCTAAGGAACAGTCTGTTCTAGGAACATGCACACAGTATGTAAAATGAAGCGTCTTCATCTTTGCCTCCAAGAAGCACTTTGGCTGCACTTTCTCCAAGACATCTTTTAGCAGTCCATGGCATAATCAGCATTTTTGTCTAATACCACAGTTCAAAAGCATCAATTATTCTGGTTGTCTTTAGCCATTGTACAGCACTCAGATGCATAGTATGTGACTGAAAAGACCATTACCTGAATCAATACATCTTAACCCTCAAGCTGGCATCACTGCTCCTCAATAATTTGGAGAGCTACCTGACAACAGACTTTCCCAATGTAATATGTCTGCTGATCTCCTGACTGCTGGTATCAACTGTACTGACTGTGGATCTAAGTAAGATGAAGTCATTGATAATTTCAATCTTTTCTGTGTCATGATGTTGCCTATTTGGTCCAGTGGTGAGCATTTTTGTTTTCTTGATGTTGAGATGTAACCCATGTTGAAGGCCGCAGTCTTTGATGTTCTGCAGCAATATGTGTCTGGGACAATGATGAAAGCCTAGTCTCCTACTGGCGGTGACAACTCACTAAGCACACTAACAATGATGAGGACAGGGCAGTGTATCCTCCTGCTGTGCATGGAGTCACTGGAGAGTGGGGTAAACATGACAACAGCCAACAATGGATACTTGAAGGCGCATCCTTTCTAACACTTCTCAACACCACCATGGCACAGAGGTTGGAATGATTTCCATTTCACAAATACAGAGATAAAATGGCTCAGCCAACAAAAGTTGTGAAGCTATTAAGTGGGATGGTTGGGATTTAAATTCTACTCTCAATGACTCTGAGTTGTAATGTTGGAGAAGAGTACTGAGTATCCCACGAATTGTCAGAAGGACAAACAAGTCTGTCTTAGGCAAAGTGCAACCAGGGTGGTCCTTAGAGGCAAGAAAAATGACACTTTGTTCTACATACATTGGGTGTGTTGTCAGGAGGGACCAATCTTTACATAGAGATACCTATCATGCTGGGAAAGGTGGAGGGCCAGAGAAAGAGAGGAAGACTCTCAACAAGATGGGTTAACTCAGTGACTGTAACAATGGGTTTGAGCAGGATGGAGAGTGTGAGGATGGCTCAGGGTAAGTCAGGAATCAGATCTGCTGTTCATAGGGTCTTTATGAGTCATAGTTCACTCTATGCGCAACAACAACTCAACTGATAAAAGTTATCTCTTTGTTATTTGAAAAGAGACAAAAGAAAACTGTCTACCTCTTTCCTTAATTGCAAGGTCCCACACATCTTTCTTTGTCTCTGTAGATTCCATAATGAAGAAATACTCAAATGAAACGAGCTGTTTGGCTTTTTCAGGGAACATTTTAAGTTCTCACCAGTCTAGCTGCTATGATGTAGACTCCTACTCAAGATGCCCCTACATGTGTCACAGTAGAACTGTGCTCCATAGGGTTCTCAATGCCTGGTTCTGAGATATAGATTGCCAGGCCTTTCTTCCAAGATACCATTAATGCCAAAAATGGACTCCACTCTGCAAACTTTTGGTTAGCTGCTGAATGCATATTAGGCTGAAATGCCAGATTTTCTTGAGCACCTCGTAGCGTAAGTCTTACCTTGTATGATGGCCAAGAGAATGACGATGACGAAGAAGAAGAAGGTAATGTCAAAGATGATGCGATAGATCTCATACTCATCCCCCGCTGGGTCTTCAATCTCATCGCCAATGCCTCCACCGGCACGGACCCCAACATACATGTGAAACATGTAGCACTGCAAGAGACAAAACGGTGCCATTTCTGAGGACAGTCCTTTCTGTACCTGACACACCCAACGTTCCCCATCCTCACTCTGAGAATCCTCACACTGTGTTACCTCCTTTCCCTTCAACGTTAGTAATTGCAACACAAATGCCTGGCTCTTCCGCACAGCTGTCAGTTTTAAAAACAAAACTCTGTACCACACACTGTGCTTAGTACCTGTGTCTCACGGAAGAGACACCAAGTGAAAAATGCTCCACTATACACTGGCTCTTGAGCATCATGACATTATGGTACACAAAGTTAACAGTCAGTGTGTCATTTAATTCTTTTGCATATAACAGAGGCAAGAATGGAGAAGCCAACACCCAATACACAACCAAACAGGATCTCAAAAATTAAACTAGAAAAACAGATGTCACACAGATGCAACTACGCATGAGCTACCACCATGTAGGGAGCATTCTACATTATGCTAAAGTCTTTTTTCTCCATATGCTGGGATGACAAGAATGGCCAGAAGGGAGAGGCAGGACTAAACAGTGGCTAACTGACTGAGCCATAGACTACAAAAGCAGCCTAAATCAGTTCAGCTGTCAGCGCCCAGTGCAGAAGAAGGGGGCCAAGCAAATGCTTTGGGGCAGTGTTTCTCGGCTTCTACACTATGCACATCTGGGGCCAGATCATTGTTTATTGTGGGCACTGTTGTGTGCAGTGTCTGCTATGTGCTGAGTGGCATCCTGGGCCACTCTGCAACAGATGCCAACAGCACCCCTCCCACAGTGACAGCCCATGCTCACAGATATTGCTCAATGTCCCCTGGGGAGAAAATTACTCCCTGCCCATTGAGCACCCAGGGTTTTGTCTATACTGGGGACAAGTCCAAACCTTCTATCTCAGGCTAGGCAGGTGAGCTATGCTTCATCTTTCAGATGGATTTTGAAAGCTCTCAAACAGCATCCACTCAATCTAAGCCCGTCCCTGCTCCCTGCAAGTCAGTGACTTCTGATTCTCTCTGGTGTATGTTCTGGTTATCCTGCAATGTTCTTTCCATGCTGACTCCATGCCTCCTCATCCTTTCAGGTCTCCATCCACATCTTTTCCTTCATCAGGCCTTCACAGACTTGTCTAGTCATGGATTTACCTAGTAGATTGTCACTCATTCATTCAGACCACGTTTACTGTTGCCTACAGTAATGAAGCAGGCCTGGCCTTGACAGCTGCCCTCCTGGGGAAGACACTGCAGTCCATGCAGGACACTGATTCTCTGTCTCTTATGTGAGTTTCCCCCCTCCGTAAGTCCCAGGACTCAACCCAGTTCCTGCCCATTTTTCCTTTTACACACCCTTTTTGAACACTCTCATGATTCTAAATCCCATGCTGAGTGCCAGTGGCTTCCCTGGGTAGTCCAGCTACTGCCCAAAGAGGTTGAGATTTGAATCCACACTGAAATGCCTCAGAAAGAAGGCCTGGTGATCTACTTCTGAAATATCAGCAAGTGGAACTCCTAGAGAGAACAGTTCTACTGCAATCTATGAGTTGTCATGAGTCAGAGCTGACTCAGTGGAAGCTGGTACTGAAACCCAACCCAAACCAGCTCCATCCAGTTGATAGCGACTCATGGCAGATCTGTATCAGATGCTGAGACTGTATCTTAATGGGGGGCTGTCCATCTCCTTTTCCTGTGGAGCAGGTGATTGGTTTGAACCACTGACCTTCCTGCAATACTTCACCTTATACACAATCAGGGTGATTGTTAATCAGTACCAGTACCAGATATCACCATGTGGCAGAGAGGCTGTATTTTTCTGTTTAATGAATTTTATCTCCTTGTCAAAGATCAATTGACCATAAATGGATGCATTTACTCCTGGGTTCTCAATTCTATTTAGTTGGCCTATGTCTCTGTTAACATCTGGTACTGTGCTGTTTTAATTACTGAGGCTGCGTAGTAGATTTTTTGAGATCAAGAAATGTAAGGTCTTTTGCATTGTTTTTCTTCTTCAGTAGTGCTTTACTTCTCCAGGGCTTCATTCCTTTCCATATAAAGTTGGTGATTGCTTTTCCATCTCTTTGAAGAATGATGACCTGTCTGAACTTGGACTGCATTATAACTACAGATCACTTTTGGTAGCAGTATTATTTTCACAATGCTAAATGTTCCTATCCATGAAAACAGTACATTCTTCTATATATGTAGCTCTCTTTTTGTGTCTTGTAGAAGTGTGTTGTTATTTTTCTTTTTATAAGAATTTCATTTTGCCTAGATCCATAATTAACTTCCATGGAAGCAGAAGTCAACAACTCAAAAGATGTGAAATTTGATGCAATAAAATGTTAAAAGAGTTTAACAATTTATAAAAAAACAATTAAAATGTCAAGAAGCAAAGATATTACTTGGGGGACTCAGTGTGCCTGACTCAAGTTATGGTATTTTCAATTGTCTCAAGTCTGAGCAGGGTGGACAACAAAAAGTAAGACTGAAGGAGAATCCATGCCTTTGAATTGTGTCTTTGGTGAAGAATCATGAAATACTGAATATAACTATGAGTGACTAGAATAACAAATCTGCTTTGGAAGACATGTAGCCAGATGCTTCTTAGAAGGGAGGATGGTGAAACTCACACATACTCTGGGCATCTTATCAGACAGGGACCAGGTCCTGGAGAAGGAAATTATTCTGTATAAAGCACAGACTATTCAAAATAAAAGAGGAAGACCTTCAATGAGATGAACTGACACAGTGGATACAACAATGTGCTTAAATACCACAGAGATGGTGAGGATCTGGTCATATTTTATTCTGTTGTGTATAAATAAGGTCACTATAAGCTGGTTAGAGGGAGTCTGGTGGACTACTGGTAAGAAGCTATGCTGAAATCCCCAAAGCATGTGGCTTGAATCCCCAACATGTCCTGCAGGAGAAGGATGGGCAATTTCCTGCAGTGTGGTGTATTGCCAAGGAAAACCCTCCACAGGGTCAACTATTGGTTCAGTTCTGATTTAACAGCACACAATAACAACATGAACTAGTCAGAGTCAATTCAATAGCAACTAACAACAACATGTGACAACAAATGTGCCCAATATCATCCAGTTTATTTCCCTTTCTGATTCTTGCTGAGCAAGATTTCAGGATTATAATCTGGCTTTCAATATATTCTTTTCTTTAGGGAAGAAATGTGTCGATTTATGCCATAAACTATTAATGAGTAAGTACTGTCAAGAAATTGTTAAATAGTAAGCCTGACCCCAAGGGAACAATTCATAGAATTTCTAGATCAGAAAGAAATTATGGAAGAAGGTGAAGATATCAAAGTCACAGTCTCATTCCCAGATCCCTTTGTGGCCTTCTAATTATTTTTCCTAATAAAGTCCATCTCTGTCTCTCACCACTCAACTTTATTCTATGACAGTACTAAGAATCTGAGGCAAACACCAGCATATTTAATCAGGGATTATGGCTTTGTGGCTAAGAATGTTTTGTGGGCAGGATTATTTCACCTCAATAAAATGATATACTTTAAAAAAAAGCAAAAGAATAAATTGCACAGTTCACAGCTTGGATTTTAATACTGATTTATGTTTTTTTCCCCCCAGCCTTATCTTTAGGCAGCTCTCCTCAGAATGCAGAATGAAAAAAGTTCCCTTCTCTTTTCTAGCCAGCCTAAAATGTGAAGTGAACCAGGGAAAGGAAAGAAGTTACTCTGGAACATAAAATAAAGGATATGAGTCAAGAGGGAAGATGGTGCCCAGTCCTTTAAAAACCAGACAGTTGTTAAGTCTTTATGTTTAAAAGTGTCCTAAAGTGACTCTCTGTGGGATTAATCTTTTCCACTGCCTTTAGTAACACTGAGAACTTGCTTCTGGTGAATTAATAATTATCCTAATAAGATTTTAATTTGGCAAGAGAGTGCTCTGGTGGGACAGTCTTTAGAGTACTGCACTGCTAACCCCAAATTCATGCCTTTCTAGCAGTTCAGATCCACCAGCTTCTCTGTGGGAGAAAGATGGGCAATCTCCTCTGGTGTGATTACAGCCTCTGAAAACCCGCTGGAGGGTCAGCGAGGAGTCAGTTCCAACTCCATGACAACAAATGATTGTTTCTTGCTAATTTATCTGCAAGACAGAGAGAGTGAACGACAGGGTGTAAAAGAAGTGATGAGAACAATCATTTAAGCAGGTTATGTCCTTAGAATTTATTGTTAATCTCAATCACCTGGAAAGCTATTAGACCTGACACAGGTCTAGATCCTGTCCCTGTGCTCCTGTGAATTTATAAGAAACTGCCCTTATGAATCTTATTTGCATTTCCGGTTAAGAATCACTCATTCTGAGATGAATGTCCTTGTATATTTCGAGTCCGTCTCCCCTGGCTTTCTAACTATAATAATCTTTCTCCCTAGAAACTGGAAATAATTTTTAACTTTCTCCTCCTATATTCTGGGAAGGGAGGTTCCAATTCTAGCAGGCTACTGCTGGTTTAATTAGATTTTCAAGCTCAAAACACCATGGTCCCTCCCTCTCTCACAATTATAGAAAAACAAACAAAGCACAAAAAACATCTGTGAATCACCACCATCAGGCTATAAAACTGCAACTAGCATGCCCCCTGCTGTCTATACCTGAATTTGGGGAGTGGAAAGCAGACAAGAAGACAAGAGAAAATGCTGTGTAAATTCCTTATATTGAAGAACACCTAAGAACCACAAAGACTCAGACTCAAGCCAATTAAATATAATGAGAATAATTGTTATGTGCCATCGAATGAACTAAGATTCATAGCAACTCTATGAACAATAGAACTGCCCCCTGCCCTCCTACCTCTGTGCCAACCTGATCACTTCTGACATATTTGAGCCTGTCATTGCAGGTGCTGTGTCAATTCACCTCATTGACAATCTTCCCTTCATTTCATGACCATCCATCTTTCCAAGCATGACATCCTTTTCCATATAGTGGCCACTCCTACCACCATGCCCAAAATATGTGAGATGAATCAGCAATGAATCA